TCTGCCTGACTGGTGAGTAGCACCTGAGGCCATGGTCTCCCTGATTTCCTTCCTTTTCTCTGGCTTTCAGCTTGGCTTACAATGTCTTTTTGGGGGACCCTGTGATGGAGATGGGAGGGGAGATAAAGGAGACCAGGTACAACCTGAATCAAAGGCCCTGTCCCTTTTTCCTCTCGAGAGGTCTGGAACTACATTTGGGTACCTCCTGTGTCTCCCTCACTGCCACTATCCTGGCATCCCCAGGCAGTGGGTTCTGTGACCTGGTCCTGACCCCTGCCACACTTGGCAGGTGCCCTAGGCTGTTGCACTGCAGTGTAGCACATGCAGCAGTTAACCTTTCTATAGTGCAGGAGAATTTCAGACACAAACTCTGTGGGACAGAAGGAAGTCACAATATTAGTTCCAGGCTTAGCATGGGCTTCATGCTGTTCAGTCCCCCCCCACCCCAGGCCCTCTGTGACTAAAGGCCTGTGGCTTTTTAGTAGGAAGACCCTTCCTTCTTCTAGCCTGTGGTGCCCAGAACTGTGGTCCCAAGCCCTTTGGCCACCACTGTCCTTGTTCATGCCAGAGGACCTTCCCCACGTGACTCTCGTGACTCTCTTGGCTTTGGTTGTTTACCTGATGCCCTAGTTCCTCTGCTTATGGCCCCTGACAGCCCTCTGGGAGCCCGGCTCCCTTTCCCTATCCCTTTCTGGCTGGGAGCACAGGCCACCTTCCCTGCTGTTCTTTACTTAGCCCTGRACTCCAGATTAGCACATTCTTGACTTCTCTCTCTACGCTTTCTGTCTTCCACACTTGTCTGCAAGTATCTTTAGCACTTCATGGCTCTGCCCCATGATGTCAGCCTGCCTGCCTGGCCARTTGGGAGGTATTGCTTTCATGGGTTGCTTGATTTTCATATCCAGTCACAGATTTCTGATAAACATGTGCCAGGATATATATCAATTACCAGTCTTCTTGAAAAATTCTTAGTATGTTTCTTTAAGAATTAAGAATATTCTGCTTTTCAGCTAACTTCATGGAGGATAGACGTCTTGCAGCCCGCTCACAGTTACTTTTGGTGAGGAACCTCCATCGACAGAGTTTAGATATGTAGAAAGAAGCAGCAACAGGGAAAGGATTATGCCCAGAAATTCCTTTTCCCTAATGTAGGAAAAAACTAAACAATCCATATACCCTTGGGTGAGGGGAGGGAAAAGGGAGGGGTAAACAGAAACAACAGGAGAYCTTTCCCTTCAGAAACTTATATTGGGGGAGATAAGCACAGATTTACAAAATAGTAAATGCACAGGGTTTCTAAGGCCAGCTTCATTGTATTACCCCAACTTGCCCCTTCTAGCAGATGACTTTCTAAGTCTGGGAGTATGCTGTGAACTAGACTTTCTGATGGCAAATTCTCTTTTGCCTTGTGCTGTGTACCTGTCAATGGCAGAAAGAGTAGAACTTGCATTTAGGGCTCCAAGTTCAGGGGTGCCAGAGATGTGCACTCGGGCTTGGCCTCGGTGCATCCTCACTGAGCATGGCTCTGGTTTAGAGCAGGGATCTGATGCCCAGGTGGTAGTCACTGGGCTAAAGACAGAAACCAGGCTACTATCCTGCCAGCTCTGGCCTCAGTCAGCCATGACCCTGCTGCTGTGGCAGTAATGCTGCTGGCTTGCAGTGATGAGTGCCTTCCTGATAATAAAACCCTTTAGAGGCTTTATTTCAGGAGCTGCTCACAAGGGCTCTGTGAGAAAGAAGCTAGGAAGGTCTCATTGTCCTGCCTTCTGAACTTGGAGCATCTCAGAATGGTACGCAATCAGATATTAACAAATTCCAGACCAGGGCCCAGGTCTCTCCTGGCTGTAGATATACAACCACACACAGTTGCCTCTGAGTAAATTTGACAGCTTTCTTCTTCTCTGGACCTCTGTTCCCAGGTGCCTGTAGAGGGCGACAGAGATCTTTCCTGCTTGGCTGCTCTGGAAACATTTATTTGCTCCTGAGCCCTTTGAATTTAGCACTCTTAYAGCACATTAGCTCACTGGGTTATAAGCATTTTTAAAGAAAACATTTCACTGAGAACTTTTTATTGGCCTTTTTGGATAGGAATGGGAGTTCATTTGCCAGGATGGATGATCTCATCTTACTTCTGCTGGAACTGCACATGGTTTCCTCTTTGCTGATTATGTATTTGGCCTCAACATATCCTGTCCTTCTTTTCTTGTCTGTGATGCTGAAACATGACCTTCCCAGAACCACCTAGAATCCCAGGCCATCGATACCAATGCTAGGGTCATATTTGATCCTCAGACTGATGTGTTCATGGTTCCCTAATCAAAGTTTTCATTATCTGAGAAATTCTTTCCTGACTCATATTCCCGTACCTTTAGCCTTTTCAGGATTTCTTCTACCTTGGCACCATGGTAGGTGTAGTGGGTGGCCATCTTTTTTTTTTCCTTTCTCCTGATGCCAGAGGCTCTGGCAGTGCCTTAGCTACTCTGCTGTTTTCCCCACTGATGGGGAGCCGACCCTGTGGGGAAAGAGTTCTATGTGGGATTCTTCTTTTATCTCAGTTCCACACCCTTGATGGAGAACAGGAAGAGAGGGACAGATTATGAACACTTACTGTGTCTACCTCTTCTCCTGTCCTCCCTTTCTGAAGTAGSACTGAAGAGACTGGACACGCCAAGAAGCAGGCTTATTGACTGCAGGGTTCAGAGGTGGCTCTCACTTCAGAATTCTTCYTCTGAACAAAGAGTTTTGAGATTCTTTGAACTTTATACCCAGTGTGTGTGTGGGGGGGCTCTACCCCACTGCTTTGAACTTTCAGATTAGGGCTCCCTTTGGCCTTGACATTCAGCAAGGCCTGTAGTAGGAGCTTCATAAATACTTGTTGAATTGAATTACATACACACGAAATCAGCCAGTACTGCCTCCTACTCTTCTCTTTTTTCCTGGATTCATTCAAATGAATAAAGTGAAAAGTAGCAGAACTCAGGACCTGTGCAGTGTTCTCATACGGCCACAAGGTGGCAGTGTGACCCCATGGGGATCTTTCCTCTTGCAACTACTATTCTTAGAGTGCTCCGAGGAAGACTGAGTTATCTCAGTGATTCTTTCTGGATACCTGCTTGGGGAATTGCCTCTGCAAAGTCACTCTGGGAAATTTCAGCTTCTAGCCTTCTCTTAACAGCTGGGTAGTATGTTGGGTGCAGTGGTGCAGGCCTGTAACCCCAGCTATTTGGGAGGCTGAGTCAGGAGGATCATGAATTCAAAGTTATCCTCAGCAATTTAGTGAGACACTGAGTAACTCAGCAAGATCCTGTCTTAAAAGAGTGGAATGTGGCTCAGGGATTAGGTGCTCTGAGTTTAATCTCTAGTACCAAACAACAACAACAACAACAACAACAACAAAACTGCATCGTGTGGTTGAAAAGCCTGGCTTTGGAGTCTGTCAGGCCTGGATTCCAGTTCTGGGCCTGTTTTTCTCAGAAACTTAGCTTTGGGAATACCACTTCTTTGAGCCTCAGTTTTTTCATCCTATAAAATGATAATTGTTATGTAACTAGAAAAGGTCCAGCATATCATGGGCCATCACGTAAATGCATGCTAGTTTTATTGTTGCAAATTTATGTGTTTGCCTTTCACTGGAATCTGACTCATCTGTAATCTGGCTCCCTCTCGGTCATCTGATCTTACTTACCAAGCCTCATGCGCTTTCTAGCAGGCCTCTCAGCCCTCCCTGATGCACCACCCACTCACCCATCCCCTCCTCTGCTCCATCTTGGTCAGTCAGTGCCTGATTCTTGTCATTTCCCCTGACTGGGTGAATTCCTTCTGCCTGTGCATTTACTTCCTAACCTTGCTCTCTCCCTGACACCCCAGCCCTTGAAATGTCCAAAGCAGTTGAAGTGTGTACTACATAGGGCTTATCTTGAATTCTCATGAAGATGGAAAGTCTGCAAGGACCCTTGCCTCAATTATTTTGGCATCTGTATTGAGCACATGTCAGATACTCTACTAGGTGCTTTGTAGTGTATTTGACCCTTACAACATATCTGTGAAAAAGAAACTGTTACCCTCACTTTACACAGGAGAGGTATGTCAGGTTCCAAACAATAAGAAAATTCTACCAAAAATAGCTTCAACAGTTAATAAAGTTTTTTAATCTTATCAAAAAGAAGTCATGAGGGGTTCTTGGTGATGTCATCTCAGTGCATTGGTTTCTCCTTTTCAGCTGACCCCCTTACTAGTACCCAGGTGACTGGCATGGTCCTGGTGCCACATCCAGGARAGATGTTGTATACTCCATGCACTCTTTGGTAGCAGCCTCTGAGTAGATTTCCTAAAGATCTTCTGGGTCATTTGGGTCATAGGCTTGTTCCCAAGCCAGTCACTAGCAAAAGGAATGGAACCAATGACATTGGCTCAGACTAGCCAAGGTTCAGCCCTTGAGGCTGGGGAAGGTGCAGTTTCCTTTAGTATCTAGACACTTGGTTCAGGTAAGAAGAGGGGTCTGGCTCAGTGAGGTATGTTATTTGCTCAAGGTTGTAAAGCTGGTATGAATGGGGATTCAGACCAGCAAAGGCTGACTCTGGAGGCCATCTGCTGGTTGAGTGAAGTCAACTGTGGGTAAAAAGAACATTTTTCTGTGTCTGGTGTGCAGGTTTGAGTGATCTTGGAGGTGCCTTTTCCTGCCAATTCTGGAGTCTTCCCTCTTCAGGCCCCTTTCCATTCTCAAGTCTTTCTTTCTCCCCAGATCTCCTCCCTTCACCATGGTCCTCCAATGCCCCACTGCAGCCTGCCTCTGTAGCCTTCATGACCTTTCCTGGCCCAAGGGCTGATCTCCTCCTAGCTGTTGAGGCCCTGAAGGGATCCTGTCAAGAATCCTTTCAGGATCTAGGAGGAGGCGCCCGTGACTTTGGGCTGGGGCTGGAATAGTGTGAGTGGGAACGGAGACTTGGGGTGGGGGGCCTCCTCTGCAGAGCCTGCGTCACTCAGGAGGTGCTTTCTTGCAGATGCTCCAGGACTGCCCCAAGGCCCGCAGGGAGGTGGAGCTGCACTGGCGGGCCTCCCAGTGCCCACACATCGTGCGCATTGTAGATGTCTACGAGAACCTGTATGCAGGCAGGAAGTGCCTGCTGATTGTCATGGAGTGGTAAGCAGTTCCAGCCCAGACTGTCCCCACCATGCTCAGGCGCCTCTCCCTCTGAGGACAGCTCAGTGTGGACCTGAAGCTTGGAATGTTACATTCTTGGCTTTCTTTAGGGGTAGTGGATCTCAAGGTGGGTTTTCTTTCAGTTTGGATGGTGGAGAACTATTTAGCCGAATCCAGGACCGAGGAGACCAAGCATTCACAGAAAGAGGTAGAAAGGGTCTGTCGTGGGGGTAGGCTTGGGTGGGCAGGGCAGTAGGGGACCAAGGGCCTCTGCCSGGCCTGCTATCAGGAAAGAGCCCGAGGCTGTTGTCTCTTTACCGCCAGAGGTGACACTTCAGTTGCTGAGGACAACTACTGTTTTCTTGGTTTCTGGGGTGGGTGATGGGTGTGAGGACCTCAGGCTGCATGGGTGGGGGCTGGTGTATGGGATTTTCAAACCTGATAGCACATCTTTGAGACTTTCTTCCACACTGCCACCCCTCCTCTCTAGAAGCGTCAGAAATCATGAAGAGCATTGGCGAGGCCATCCAGTATTTGCACTCAATCAACATTGCTCATCGGGACGTCAAGGTACCAGCTATTTATGTCCCATGCTTGAGTGCTTTGTTGGTTGCGGGGGCTGGACTTGGAGACCTGCAGGAGGATTGCTAGAGTCACTCTGTACCCAGCTGCCTGGTTCATGAGGGTGGAATGGGTCAGTGTGTCATTCTCTGCTCTGTGGTGACCTGCTTTTTCTGCTGATGAACAAACTGCAAACCCAGTAGCAAAGCCTTCTCTGATTGCACTCGGATTGGGTTCTCCCTATCAGCACTGTGGGTTTTCTGACCCTGTAGTGTTCACACTGTCGTGTCCTATCCTGGGTGTTGGACTGTGAGCTCCATGTTCCCCACGTGTGCAGCTCTGGGCTGGACAAATGGCTTTGGGGTGGGTGGGAAGGAGCCGCCATCACCCTCTGGTTTCTGACAGTCCTCCTAGGCTCAGCGAGGGTGCTCACTTGCCTGTCTTTCTTTCTGTAGCCTGAGAATCTCTTATACACCTCTAAAAGGCCCAATGCCATTCTGAAACTCACTGATTTTGGCTTTGCCAAGGAAACCACCAGCCATAACTCTTTGACCACTCCTTGTTATACGCCATACTATGTGGGTAAGTCCAGAGGAGGCCCAGGGGCCTAATGTTTCCCCAGGACTTTTCTCAACCCCTCCTCTTCAGATCTGGGGAGAGTCTTTTTGCCTTTTCTGTGCTGGTTTTGGTAGGATCCCATCAGAGGTAGGGTGTTCAGGGCTGGGGATGTAGCTCGGTGGTGGAGGGCCCCCATGTGTGAGGCTTTGGGTTCCATCCTTTGCATCATCAAAAAAAAAAAAAAAAAAAAAAGTAGGACTGTCAGAGTTCAGGTAGGACCGAGATATCGTAGAACTTGTTGCCTGGAATCATGGGCAGGATTTTGGTGCCTGAACTGTGTCCCTGAGCAGAACCATTATTTCCATCAGGTTCTCAGTGACTGAGTCTGGGACCCAGATTTAACTCTGGAGTCTCAGCTGACAGGCACAGAATAAGGCATGTTTGTGAAATTACATGGCTAGCACAAGTCTGGAGGTCTCTGTGGTTGGGGTGTTCTCATGTTAAGAACTGACTGCAGGTTCAGTGCCTGGAGGGGAGTCTTCTGCTTTCCTTCTCCCACTCCTGCAGTTTTCCCGTCACGTTGGGCCAGAGGGTTGTACGGGGAGCATCACCCACAGAGAAATGGGTGGGTCAYACTGTTCCCATCCACACTGATCTTTGTTTTGCAGCTCCAGAAGTGCTGGGCCCAGAGAAGTATGACAAGTCCTGTGACATGTGGTCCTTAGGTGTCATCATGTACATTCTGTGAGTGTGCTGGGGAGGGGGCCAGGGTGGTTTGGGCTGCAGTGGGGCAGGGAGCCAAGGAGGTTCGTACCTCTCCAGGACAAGAGGAAGAGGTGAATGTTAGCATTTCCTAGTGGACAGGAGATCCCCTGGGAATCCCCGACACACCTGCTTCTCTCAGTGCTTTGTGTGGTCTGATTGCTGCACAGTGGGGAGGAACTAGCTCAAGGGCTAGATGTGTGTGGTTAAGATACTTGGTGTGTTGGATTCCTGGGCTCTGTCCTTGGCTTTGTGTGTCATTCCTGTGTAAATGAGTCCCTTGTGACCTTTACAAGGAGAAGAGACTGTTTCTCACCCTTATTCCTGGCATAGGGTCCCTAAATAACACCKAATCTGTCCCTTTCTTCCTGCCTTGGTCTGTCACAGGCTCTGTGGGTATCCCCCCTTCTATTCCAACCACGGCCTTGCTATCTCTCCGGGCATGAAGACTCGCATCCGAATGGGCCAGTACGAATTTCCCAACCCAGAATGGTCAGAAGTATCAGAGGAAGGTAGGAGCCCAGCCTTCTGGGACAGGGGACATACACGCATGTGCATGTATGCACACATGCTCATTGGCATCTGTCTCACGTGACTGGTGCCACTGTGGGTTGCTGGGTGTGGCCTGCCTGCATGAAGGGCCTGGGCGGGGCCAGGGCTATTGGGCTGCAGAGGGCCTTGTGAAGTGGTATAGCATAGTGGTCCATGGGCCACTGCTGTTGGGCAGTCTGCCTCTTTTGAGACACAACCTTCTTTTGAGCCTAATTTCCTCTGAAAAGTGATGAGCAGAATGGGGAGTGACCCCTGAGCTGTCTCTGAACTTGCCCCACCCCACAGTGAAGATGCTTATCCGAAACCTGCTGAAAACAGAGCCCACTCAGAGAATGACCATCACAGAGTTTATGAACCACCCCTGGATCATGGTAAGCCTGGCGGGCAGGGAGACCTGGGTCCAAGGGGATGTCACTTAGTATGGGTCCTTATCTAGGACTTTATCTGCTTCAGACTTTCACTTGGATCCCTTTAATGTCCCCTCAGCAATCAACAAAGGTCCCTCAAACTCCACTGCACACCAGCCGGGTCCTGAAGGAGGACAAGGAACGGTGGGAGGATGTCAAGGTGAGTGGTGCCACTGCACGGGAGGACTCAGGGAGGCAGCTTGCCCGAGTGCCCAGTGTGAGCGGGGCCCTGCTGGGAGAGTGGCTCTGTGTTCTTGCCCACTAACTTCGTTAGTGTCTCCCTAATAACAAGGCAGTGACTCTGAGCCACTTCCCTGAGGTTGTAACAGAAGTTTTGTGCACTTATTCAAAGTGTATTGTAGCCTACAAGCCATCTACTCCCAGAGTCCCTGACAGGGACCTTAGAGGCCATCTGGTATGATCTCCTCATTTTGCAGATGAGGAAACTGAGGCCCAGAGARGGGGAGTGACCTGTTCTAGGTCACACAGCTGGTGACTGACTGGRACCAGACCCAGGGCTCCTGACTCCCATCCCAGGGCTCTGCCATCTTCTGCAGGGTGGTAGGAAGGATCCTGGGAGAGCAGCAGAGCAGTGCAGGCTCTGCAGCCAGCACTGGGTGATGCTGCTATCAGCAGTGCAGAACCCCTAACTGCCTGTCTTCCCTCCCTGCACCCTCGTTCTGCTCGCCTTGCCTCTCTTGCCTCTCACTTCTCCTCTGCACTCTGTCACGCACTTTGGCTTGCTCTCTTTCTGTCCCTTCCTGGTGCTATTCCCCCGCTGCCCTTGTCCTCAGGAGGAGATGACCAGTGCCTTGGCCACAATGCGCGTCGACTATGAGCAGATTAAGATAAAGAAGATTGAAGATGCGTCCAACCCTCTGCTGCTGAAGAGGCGGAAGAAGGCTCGGGCCCTGGAGGCTGCAGCCCTGGCCCACTGAGCTGCTGAGCCCTCCTGTCCGCGGGAGGACAAGCAATAACTCTACATGAATTTATTTTTTAAACGAAGAGACACAGACTGTCCACTTCTGCCTCCTGTCCTCTGCAGCTTTGTGGAGTCTGAGACAGCGTCAGTGGCTGAATCCTGCCTTTGGTCCTGGCCATTCCAGAGACGGAGGGGCCAGGAGGCTGTGGAGAGGGGAGCAAGCAGCTCTCACACCTGTGCTCATTTTGCAATTTTATCAGTGATTGACTTAGAGTTTTTATGAAACCTCTTTTGTTGCCCTTTCCCTCACTCCCCTTCCCATCACACACCTTCCCCTCTGGATACTGCAAAGGTTTGGGGCTTGTCCAAGGGTATTTGTGGAAACTGTTACAGGGATTGTCCCTGGGTTGTCCCATCTGCCCTCCCGGTTTTCTCACTATGGTCCTGGGTCCCCACTGGCTCAGGCATTCTGGGGACTCAAGGCTACCCTTGGAAGGGTTGCTACCCACCTCCTCTCCTGGAGAGTCCTCAGGTGTCACCAGTGTGCTKGACAGATAGGAGTGAGTGTGTGCGTGTGTGCATGTGCGCGTGTCCAGATCTGTGCCTGGGACTGTGCATTCAAGGGGCTGGGCAGGTGGGGCTCCAGAACCTCCCCGTCCCTGCCTGCACTGAGCCTGCCTAAGTGCCTGGGAAGCCTGTCCAGATCCAGAGCCAGGCCCCTGTGGCCTGTTAGCTGCGTTCCWGGAGGCAGAGAGGAGCGACTTGGGCGCTGTCACAGTGCTCAGGAAGTCTGGACCCTCAGGACTACTGCCCATGTAGTGCTGGTCCTAGGGCCTCTTGAGGCACTGACCTACTGGAACAGCCTCTGTTTCCCCTTCTTGCCATTATTAATCCATTCTTGTTGATTTTTCTTAAATTTTTAGCCATTTCTCAGTGGGCTGCCTCTCAGGTCACGTGGGTGAGCCTGGGTAGGTCAGACTGCAGAACTTCTGTGTTTCAAGCGTCTCTCCTGGGCTCTGGGGCATCAGCCAGCTACCCTTTRTGGGCAAGGGTAGGACCACTTTTGTGGCCCTCCCTCAAATTTCCACTGTGTGGCCTAGTGGGTGGGGGTAGTCTTCGCATCAAAGATGTCCCCATTTTGCCCCCTGCCCATTAGTCACTGTATCCCCCTGACTCAGCCTGTGACGAGAGGGGGTGCCCCCAGTATTTGAGGAGCAGCAGCGTGGGGAGAGTCCTCAGTGCCATGGTCCCACATTCCTCCCTCCCTCTGGAGGAGGGGGTGGCTCCCTCAGGGGCTGGTGGTGGAGGGCCCCTGAGTCTTCTCTGGGTCTGGGGGCAGGGCCCTGGGTGCCTACAGCACCGCCCTTGTCTGTGATGGTGTGTCAAGCACTCAGACTGTTGTAAACTGTTATTTTGTATGAAAGAATTTGTCTTTACTAAACAGATTTAATAGTTGAGAGTTTTTCTTTCTCTTTCTTCTTGAGGCTCAGGGCCTCATTGCTCACCTGTGTTCTTCCTACCCGTGGAGAGAGGTTTTATGTGCTGGGGGCCCTGGGAGGAGAGAGGAAGKCATCTGGTGTGGGGACCATGAGTAATTGCCCTCTGGGGGCGTGGGGGGGGCAAGGAAGACTGGGAAACCCTTCTTCTTTTGCTAAATACTGAATCAGGAGTCAAGCTGCTTTTCAGCACATGATTCTTTGATCTACACAGCCACCGTCAGGGACTGGCATCCTTGGTTTGGGGGAAAACACCCGTGTGGGGCGGTGGGAGAAAGGGGTGGTGATGAATTGGGTTTCAATCCTGGGAGAGACCAAGGGAGCGGATTGGTGTAATACCTGAGAATTCCAGGAGGGGGTGATAGGGCTCAGGCAGAAATCAAGGTACCCTACCTCAGAGCTGAAAGTGACCTTGGTTCCAGCCATTCAGTCTTCTCAAAGGTCACAGGATGACCTGATTTATGATAGGGCCTAGAGTAGAAGCTGGTCTACTGCTTCTTTCCCGGATCATTTGACTTACTCCATCCTCAGAGCTGGCAGGGGAGAAAGGCTAGGCAGGATGGATTTTTATCCCTGCTTCACGGGCAGGGAAATGAACTGAGACTGGGAGGCACTGGAGGTCACCCAGCTGTTGGTGTGGACTGGAACTCGGCCCGGATCCCAGGGCCTGGGTGTTCTCTGTCCTCCACCAGCCTCTTCCTTGTAGGAGAGGCTTGCTTATCCCCTCAGCTGTTAAAGGGATCACTTGCCACCCTTCAGCTTGTGATCTGTGAATGGTTGTGGAGGTTGATTTYTCTCTAGAGACACACCAGTAACTAGAGAGCTCTGCTGAGAACCAACCAGCTGGAACTTCAACTTTCAGAGAAATTGAGGTTTTTGTCTGTTTTTATAGTATCAGAGCAATAAGTTCCAAGGGGAAGAAGGAAGGAGAGGTGGGGGAGGCAGAGAGAGAAGGGAATTTGTTGGAGTCCACTGTCATTAGAAGTTATTATGTCCCTGTTGCTGCCATAATAAAATGTAGGGGCAGTGATCCGGGCTGAGCCCATCCTCTTGCTGAGAGCAGGGGTGAGTCTCCAAGCCATAGGGTGAGGGGGCAATTGGGTTGGTAAATAATAACAGTAAATTTGGGGTTTTCCTTTGGGTTGGAGACAGGAAATGCAGAGGGTTGTGAATGACAAGTGGGTAGATCAAGGTGTGAAGAAAATTGTTATTCAAGGGAGGAGGATGAGGTTGGTAGGGCTGGGGAAAGTGGGTGTCCCACTGAGGTGGATGTAAACAAACTCTGCTGGGCACTGCCAGGGCGGGGARACAGAGGCAGCCTCTGTGCCCTCAGCCCAGAGAACAGAATGAAATCTATACTTAGGTGCCCCAGATGCCCCAGGGTGAGACTGGCTGAGTTTGAGAGTAGCTCCTCTTGAGAAGAGACATCAGATTCCAGCACTGGGAGCCTTTTGGGTGACTTCCTCCACCTCTCCTCTCCCGACACTCAGGCCAGTRTGGAGAGGCTAACCAACGTACTATATCACTGAACATCAAGGCTCTTATATAAGCCCTGTGCTTGGGGACAAAGGACAMTCTGCAAGACCAGACTGTGGCCAGAGGAGCTGTCAGGGAGAGGAGGTGCCTGATGCAGCAGCAAGCTTTGACTTCCCTGTCTCTGCATCCACATGACTGGACACTTAGAAGCTGCTCCAAATAGCAAGGGGCTTGTCTTCTACCCCAGGTGGCACTGTAGCCTCTTAGGGACATAGAGGTAGAGATGAGGTCAAAGGAAAGGGACACTGGCTTCTCATCCTTTGTTTGGACAGAGCCCTCACATTCCTGCCTTGGTTTAGGGGTGATGCTGCTCCTGGCCCCACCCAGGCACACGAGGATTAAATAAGGCTGTGCCAAGACTTTGAAAACCCTGTTCTTTGGTGTGCAAGGTCATGGCTGCTCCTACGGAGCTCCACGTGATCTTTCAGGCAGGTCAGTGGTGCTGCCTCTCCAGTGAGAAGACTTCCACTCACATCCAAGAGTTCTGTTCACCTTGAGCACCTGCTCTGTGTCAGGCCTGGTGCTCAGGACTTTGGGGGAGATGTTGATGAGGAAAAACAGAGGGTATGGTCCTCATGAAGCTCAGTGCACAGGAGTGGATGGATGTCACTATGTTAGAACCAAGCTGTCCAAATAGCAGAAGCTCTTTTGGTGCAGAGGTGGAGCTGTAGTCAGTCACAGGGGAGCTTCCTAGCAGCCCTTCGAAGTGGCATTTGAGGGACAGTTCTGATGGTGAAAAATGAGGGGACAGTATGGCACAGATTTTCCCATTGGCTTTTTGGTTTCTCTCTGCAAGAGCCAGATCTTTCCTTCCTTTGACTGTGGGTTTGCCCCTTCTGTCTTCTGCTCTGAACTTCTGTCTGCTTGGCAATTTAGCTTAATCTTTGACCCCTGTGGTTTCTTCACAAAAATCTGGTTTGCCCCTCCTAGTGGGGTGTCCTTAAACTTTCTGTTCCTTTTCTCTTTCCCACCCCTCCAATCTGGGTTACCCTCATTCAGAATGTTTGCTCCCCAAACCAAAGTTTGGGAACATAATCTGACAGGGATTTCCCCACTCAATTTTCAGTTCATTATTTTTTTTTCTTTTAATATTGGGGATTGAACCCAGGGGTGCTTTACCACTGAACTACATTCCCCCAAAAATCTCCCTGCCCCCACCTTTTTTTGTGGTGTTAGGGATTGAACCCATGACCTTGTGCATATGAGGCAGGCATTCTACCAACTGAGCTAGATCCCCAACACYCCCAGACCTTTTTATTTTTGGTTTTGAGACAGGATCTCACAAAGTTGCTGAGGCTGGCCTGGAACTTGTGATCCTTCTTCCTCAGCCTCCAGAGTTGGGGGATTGCATTTGTGTGTCCATGCCTGGCTCATTTTTTCTGAAAAAGCATTACAAAATGATACTTAGATAATTTGTAGTTCTCCAACTTATGAATCACTATAAAAAAGAATGGCTGTAGGGGCTGGGATCGYAGCTCAGTGGTAGAGCACTTGCTTAGCACGTGTGAGGCACTGGGTTCTATTCTCAGCACTGCATATACATAAATAAATTAAGTAAATAAAGATCCATTAAAAAAAATGGCTCTAGGCATTGGAGGCCTCCTGAGAGTGTGGGAGGACTGGTCCTCAGCGCTTCCTGGCTTCTCCTCCTCTGAGTYTAAAAAGCTATGCTTCTCTGCTGCCCTCATCCCCTACTGTCCTAGTGGGCCCTCTACCATCTGTCTATGGAGAGAAGCCCTCCAGAACCATTGGGGACAAAATRTGATGTTAATGTGCTTAAGCTTCACCCTTTTTTATTTTAAACACACTCACACCTTAAACCTGGGGACACCTTGGAATGTACATCTGCCCTCAGGAGGGGAGGGTTATTCCTCTGAAGATGAGTTGCTACCTAAAACCTTTGTCCTGGAAGTTTGTGGCCATCAGGCCTGCAAGATTTCAGGTGGGGCCTCTGGGGCAGTGGAACCTGTGTAGGGTTAAGTCATTTTTAGGGACCAGGACTGACATGCAAACGCATTCATTTGCATAACTTTCTTGCTCTCAGGAACAGTTAAGTTTCCAACCCTCTCACACTGTTGCCTGGATTTGCAAGTGAAATATTAGGACTAGTTTTCCCCTTTGCCACCTTCCTCCTTTCTCTCTGTCTCTCAGGCCCCCCGCTGTGACCAAATTCTAACTAGTCTTAACCCCTCTGATCCCAAGGAAGATATATATGCAAAGTGTCCACTAAAGC